ATCATCGTTTTTTGTCTGAAGCTATACCTCTCCGCTGATCCTTCCGTAACTTGTGCCAAATCTGCGAGCAACATCCTTCCAATAGACAGCAGTGTCTTGTTCAACGAGTTCGAGTTCTCTGCAAAAACGAGCTTTTCTTCATGCTTATAACATCGTGAATTTTTGAATTTGAGTGCGCGGCGCATTCTCTCTATGATGTACCACAACTTAAACTTAGTTGTTTGAAGTTGTGGAAGCTTGGTGCATATCACCTCTATGATTTCTAATCCTTCATATGAATTGGATAATGATAGTGAATTTGCAGTCCGGTGAAGTGGTTCAGTGTAAGTGGCACGCGGTTCAAAAGGAATGGGGCACGTCTTACCTCCTTATCCCTTTATGGTCACATAAGATATTGAGAAAATGGAGATTGTTTTGTATACCGTAACTGTTTGGTATCTGAAAATCGTCGATTCAGCCTTCGAAGGATAACGGGCGTTCCTAGTACGGTCTCTCTTTCTACATCGACTGCGGGCTCTTTGTCGATGAATCTGATAACGACCGGGATCAGCAACTCCTTGAACGCCGTCTCGTCCCACGCATCTGCTCTCATAAAGCTCGATCCCTAATAGTAAGTTCTGAAATTACAACCGATCAAGTAAGAACGATTATAAATATGCGTAGAATGAAACTGGCTGCGAGCATCTGCGATGTAGTTCATTGAAAGGAGACTTTTAAGAAATTCAAGCCAAGTGCTTTTTTTCAAACAAAAATAGTCATTAGAATTGCAACGCGAACGTACTGGGAAAAACATGACGTCTACGCTGGAGGAGTTATCGGAATAGTTGCTGTAGAAGAACGACAATAATCCGCCTTTGGAAGAAAAGAATGAAGTGAAATATGGAAGAAAATGATTTTTGATTTCATTTTCGACTCTACAATTGGTCACTATAAAAATAATTACTGAAAGTCAAAACAAGAAGGCAAGCAACTTGCACATTAGGTGGGCAGAAGGTAGTCTGTCTAGTGTCTGCCTCTTTCTGTTCAGAACCATTGAGGAAAATCAGGAACATCAATATGGTTCAGAGACATCAGTTGTTTGAAATTAATTATCATCACTTATCACTAAATATCATTATTTGTTGCATTTATTACACTCCTATTATTACTGATTATTATTATCGTTCAGTATTATTTTTGCACTGCTAATTAGATAATTATTTGGTTTACTATTTCATTTATTGTTCACAAACTATTATACGCGCTTCATGTTCCAAATAGCTCGATATGGTCATAGACATTCTCTGGGAAAATGAAGTAGGCAAAGAAACCAGCGAAAGGCTCCTCCCTTTCAATGCGGACTAAGGTGTCGCAATCAAACGAATTAGTTGGCAAACAGCAAATCGCTCTAAAACAAGCTGCTAGACCAGTGGCGGGTCCGAGCACGTTGTGCCCAGAACGATCTTTGACAACCCCCCTGACTTCTTCCGCGTGTCTCCTGTCTTCGCAACGAAACATTCCAAGAGATTCCTGCTCAAAAAGTTGAAATCCGAGAAGCAGGTGTTTACAAAGGGCCAGGAACTGCTAAAAACCAAATCTAGTTGAGGAAAACCTTCAAACTTTCGATGCTTTCAAATGAGAACTTCAATCCGCAAGGATAAGAACATCTGTTGCGCTGTCCCTGTTTTAGCACCCTTACTGTACTTAGGTAAAACGCACTGTCTAGGTGTTTGAGCACTTATATTTCTGTGTATGTGTGGGATCAAAATTATATTACCTGACGAAATACGTGGACAGGTTGAGTTGGGTACACGACGGGTGCCTAGGGTAGGCAAAGAAAAATTGTGAAAAAAATGAAAAAACCTTGTGAAAAATTAAACGAAGTCAAACAAATTGTAATTCGATTCCAACTTAGTCCAGAAACAGAAAAACTAGTCAATGATATATAGCAGCTTTACGAGTGTGATGGAGAGAATCTTCTCTTAGGCAGAGCATTGCCCAAATGGGCAGTGTTAACCATAACAATTCGCTAGACCGCTGGTTCACAACTGAGAATAAAATGGATGGGTAGTAGTGTGTAAGGGGTGCTGAGCAGAAATTGCGCTCAAAAAATCACCCAAAAGTCTCACAGGTGAGTTCCAAGCGGCTTGGAGATCGGAAATAGGAAGGAATAGGTAAAAGATCGATAGAGGATCGAAATGAGGCCGTTTTGATGAGGGGCGTGATACAATCGCGAGAGAAATGTCCGGCGAAGGCTGGAAAAATTGGGACAAGTTAATAACAGCTTTCAAGAGTAGAGGTGTTCTCGATTTGCAGGCTTTACTTTTGGGTGGGCGAAGTTTGGGTGCATAAGAAAGAAGTGGCGCTCCGTCTAGATTAACTAGAACGCGAAGAAAAAGTCGCAGTCCTTGGTGAAAGCTGTCAGGAAACAGATTACAAAGTCAACGGTGTTCGTGTGAGAAGTGACTTTTTAAATGACGACTCAAGGGCCGTTCAAAAACGATCGAGGACGAGCCGGATCACCGTTGACATTATGATTCAGTATCGGTTGAAGCTATTACTTTTACGGAGTAGCAAATGTTGGGTCGTGGGGATGAGCAAGTAGAGCCATAAAAGTCGAAATTTTGCAGAAGCCCAAGATATCGATCGGAATTACGTTGGTTTGTTGTCGCAAACTGCCATAACTAAAGTATTTGTATGCACTAAATTTAAAGTTCAGAACAAATAAATTCATGGGTATGTTCTATATAAATCAAGGGCCTAAAGTGGATATTTAATACCCATTTGGGACAAAAATAAAGTGTCCATTTGGGACAGAAATAAGTTAATGGTTAAAGACTAAGCAATCGAGACAATGTTTTTGCAAGGAAGGCTGCACCTTTCATGGAGAAGGAATAAAAAAAAGACCAAAAAAGAAAACGTCTAAGTAAGCAGCGAAAAAACTGCTGGAACAAGCGAACGGAAATTAGTTAGACATTCAGAAAAAAGAAATAATTTATGAAGTCCCCTTAAACAAATTGAAATCCAAATGCGGAGATTCTAACAACTTCTGTGGATGACACGTCGAAAACAATTTTTCTCATTTGGAAAAACTCGAAGGAGGCTCGGTTGTCAATGTGTGGCCGCAAATGATACTTCGTTGACCACCCACATCGTTTACTAACGAGCAGCTGCACTTCCTCTGAAAACCTTTGGTTTCTCCAAAGACCAAGCAGATTGCAAAACTTTACAGCAACACTGCTATGATTAAAAGACACCTTCACTACTTAGAATTCATCGGCACCAAGTAATGAATCACTTCCTGGGTGGTCTAAAAGCTCATTCCAAACTCCGATATCTCCAAAAACCATGCTTTTTGGTACCAAGACACAGCAAAATGAAAATCTACAAAAACTTCCAATAAAGATCATATAATTGGGAAACTCAACAGATCTCAGTACTTATGTATAAGGTATTTTGATCTTTTTTTTGGAAGACTATAATACGCGATTTGGAACGCAATGTAACCAGTCATTCAGTTTGCACCATAGAAACCGCGGCGCACACTGTTCAAATAGCATCCTATCGGTTTCGAAGCAGCAGTATACACAAAAATGTGCGAAAATCGCAATGGTAGAGCAAGGGGGAAAACGCTCAATGTAGTATAAACCTGCTCAGTAGGTATAAATCACTAAGCTGACCATGATTTGCGCACATTTCTTAAATAGCATCTGATCGGCTCCGAAACAGTGGAACACACGAAAAT